GTCTTCCAATGTAAACACAAAATGCTTGTAGATCCAGGTGGGTAGCCGTGCGACAGAACAAAGTGTGAGTCCAACTTTGTTGGTTTTAAACGTGCCACTGGACTCAAATGTTGTAAAAATGCTTGTGTATATATGTAAAGTAGCATCAAATCACAAGCCAACTTATGGTGACCCTATAGGGTTTTCAAGACAAGAGATTTTCAGAGGTGGTTTACCATTGCCTGCCTCTGCACAGCAACCCTGGTGGTCTCCCATCCAAGAACTAACCAGAGCAAACTTTCCTTAGCTTCCATGATCTGATGAAATCAGGTGAGCCTAGGCCATCCACATCAGACCTCTTAAAATACTTAACTAGTAAGCATTAATCAGTGACTGAATGCTGTGTCTCTGCTAGCTTCACAGGCAAGATATTAATTCTCTTATTTCACCTATTGACCTGGCTGAATACCCTGTTTCAGGACATTTTAAAGGGCCATTTAAATAGCATCCTTGCTATGTGAGGTGCCCCATACAGTTAGGAGAACTCTTTGATGACAAAATCATGTGTGCAAGGGGACAATCTTATGGATGCGCCCCTTCAAATCTCCCTTATATATTCCCAATTTTATGATTAAGACCTGCAGTGAAACTGCCCAGATGAGTTACCTGAAGTAATGAAGAAGTGACTAATGGAAAAGTAGTTCTTACGTGGCAAGAGTTAATGTTTTTTAAGGACCTCTAATTAGAATCAAGGAAAAATACCTGCACCTGTGGTGCAGGACACCACAGCAACACACATGGTACGATGCTATGATGTTAAAGAACACCCATGTACATCAGGGTGGATAAAAATTGGATTTTAAAATTTTAAATTGGATTTTTAAATAAAATGTTTTTTGAGGAAAAATCTATCCAAAGATAGTTTTCTATTTAAGATACATTATAGTCCAAAGGTTATTCATCATGAAATAAGGATTAGTTTTTAAATTATGTAACATGAGGCTGTGTATTTATGCAATGTTTGAATTTTTTGGTAAACAAATTCCATTAATCCATTCACAACGTCATGCTCTTCCAGAGGTTTCTTTTTCTTCCTTAATTAGATGGTCAGTTGGAGGAAGATTTGCACCAGAACCTCTGCAAATCAAGTTGCGCACACCCTACTCCACAGCACTGTCTTCTGTCAGTGTGAATCCTGAACATCAGGGTTCAAAACTAGGGATCTAATGCCACAGAAAATTTAACTGTTTATAAGCTCCTCTCCTGCTCCCCTCAAATGATACACATCCCCCCCCCTTAAATGAACATCAGACCGCCTTCATTGATACCCAATTCCTATCTGTCCCCTCCCAGGTTAATGCCCCATGGGGAAATGTGTTATGTTTTTGGATTCTACAATAGGGCTGTGTTTCCCCCAAATAAATGCCCTAAGATGGGTTCTTCTGTAAACACTTAAGGGGCCCCTCACTCCACGCTTGATCTAACTCCACGCTTTGGGGTTCAGCTTCCTGGTATCAAAGGGCATGCCACCACTTGGTAATGTCGCATTCTCTAATCTACCTCACCCCTCAAGATTTGCAACCATTGAAACCCTTTAAAAAGCAATTGATCCGTAATCCTGTGCTAATCCTGTCTGTGCTGTGATTCCACATACTCCTGAGTAAATTATTAAAATCTGATATCAGTTCTACATTTTCTTTTGCACAGGAATGCATCCTAAACTGAGAACAGCACACTAGATCACACAACATCCCCCCCCCTAAAATAAAATTAAGGCCCCACCAGATCAGCCCAGACCTTACCCATTGCTGAGCAGTGATTTGCTCTGTAGACACCCCCCCCCCAGTAAAAACTACACTGGTAAAAATTTACACTTGGTAAAAATTACACAAACAATTACAGAACGTTTTAAAAGACATCGGGTTAAAACTGGGTGCCAAATGAAGGCTATTAAAAATGCTTCTGATGGGGCCAAAGGCAAGGCAGAGTCCAGAGCTCCCCAGACATGGAGGAGGGCCAGAGGTTTCTGTAAGATGACTGGGCAGTTTTTCTGTCTAGAAGGTATTATCACAGATGCTTGGTTTTACAGAAAAATGAAAGTGAATCTGTGTCTGCAGAGATCACATCTGTCTTCTTCACAGCAAAAATGTTATAAAATGAACATAGAGAGTTGAGAAAAAGACCTTAATCCCATTGTTCCTTTGCAAATCTATGTACACAGAACCTCTTAAGTGCTAAGTTTCAAAAAATTCTATGAACAGAAAATTGTTGGGAGTGGAATAGATCTGCACAAGAAGCTGTGTGATGAGGGAGGGGCAAGCAGTAAAAATGAAAGTGAAACCTTTGGAGCAGAATACTCCAAAAGTCGTTGGATCTTTGTGTGTCTAGGCTGAGGTTTATCATATTATTCTTTCCCTGGAGGAGAACGCCTATAATGGCAGCAGGCTGTAAGAAAGACCTAGTTTGGGAATATTTTAATGAAGTTCCTCTACCTATGCGTGCAAAATGCAAACACTGCAACAAAGAAATGCAAGACCTGGTGGCCCGAATGAAACAACATCATAAGAAGTGCTGTGATGAAGACAACAAAAAGAATACGTTGGAACAGGCAGGATCTTCAGGATGGTAAACGTTTTGATTTCATCATATTTCTTAAAGACTGCCTTGAGGAACTGTCATGTTTGAGCAAAATTATATTTGTTATTATTATTACTGCTTGTTACTGTCATTTTGATAACAGTTGTTATGAAGAAATAAAGAGCTGAAACAAGCAAATATTCCTTTTTTGGGCAGTACTGAGTGCCAGTGAATACAGTGAGTAATACTAAATAAGTCAAAATGGTATAGATAATAACACCATTGCCTTTTTTTGTTTAGGAGAATCCATCATCAACATAAAAGATTCTGGAAACTATCCACTTTCGAGATCACCATCCTCCTGTTCTACAGTTTCAGAGTTATCTGTCCAAGATAGTGTTTCAGTCACATCATACACATCACACATCCACAGTATATCACCCAAAACAAAGAAAAAAGCCAACCATCCAGAAACCATCACAGATAGAACTTTATGATAAAAAAACAGCAGATTAGAAAAAGAGTTCATTGATTGGGGGGGGGGGATTGCCCAGTTTGTTTATGCGAGCAACTCTTCTTTCCATCTGATTGGAAACCCACACTTCATTAATGTGGTTTAGTTAGTGAGACTAGGATACAGTCCTCCCAGGAGAGCACATGTTGCAGGGAAACTGCTGGATAAAGTGTATGACAGAAATAAAGTAATGTGCAACAGCTCTAGAGGGTAAAATTGTTAACCTAAGTCTTGATAGGTGGAGTAATGTCTACAATGATCCTTTTGCATGTGCTTGTATAACAACAGAAGAAGAGAATGTCTTCCTTTCAGAAACAATTGATACATCAAGAAATGCACACAAAGCAGAATACTTACAAGAAGCGGCAGCAAAAGCTATAATAACGCAAACAAAAAATCAAATGTCTAATATGAGGTTTGGTCACAGACAATGCTGCAAATGTATCCAAGATGAGAACAAATTTAGAAAAGGAGGAAGGGAATACAAAGCTAATAACATATGGTTGCAGTGCTCATTTGCTGCACCTCCTAGCCAAAGACTTTAGTGTTCCAGAAATAAAGAGAAATGTCATTGAAACTGCTAAATACTTCTGCAACAATCATTTTGCTGCAGCAGCTCTGAAAAGAATGGGTGGAACCAAGCTAACGCTTCCACAAGATGTTAGATGGAACTCTGTTGAGGACTGTTTTGAACAGTATATCAAGAACTGGTCTAATCTGGTGACAGTCATGGCCAAAATCCTTAAAATTGGGTTTAAGAGAAATGTTGAACATATGCTAAGCATCCTGAAACCCATTTTGGAAGCTTTAAACAAAATACAGAAAAATAGCTGTTTTATTGCTGATGCTATTGAAATTTGAAGGAATTGAGTGAGCAGTTAAAAACAGAACTACACATTGACAGAATTAAATTACAAGCATTAAAAATATAAATGGGGCAAGCACTGTCTCCAGCTAATTTTCTCACAAATATTGTCAATACAAGGGTCAAACCTTAAGTGCTGATGAAGAGGACTTAGCTATGACATGGTATCCAGCAATCATCTATCTGTAATGTCAATATAATAAACTTCAGAGCTAAGGGGGAACCATTCAAGAAATATATTTGCTGATGATGTTCTAAAGAAAGTCATACCAGTGAACTGGTGGAAGTCACTTAAGCACTTGGATTTAGAGACTGTTGAAATAATGGTTTCACTTTTAACAGCATTAACTTCTTCTGCTGGCATGGAAACAATATTCTCTTCCTTTGGACTCATTCATTCTAAATTGAGAAATGGTTTGGGACCTGATAAAGCAGGAAAGCTTGTTTTTCTTTTCCAGATTATGTACAAACAAGAAGATGAAGATGACTGAGCTATAGAGGACAGTATTTTAAGTTTTTAATGTGTGGACCGGGCTGATAGTCTAGGGTTGTTGTTTTTTTATTAAAGATATTTTGTTTAACCACATCAGTTAACAAACATGAATGTTTAAGTAAATACAAGAATACATATGCTATAATGGTATTGTTTTAGTTAAATAAAACTATTTAAATTGTTGTTATTATTAAGGTATTGATTTTTCTCCTTCCAACAAATACAGCAGAAAGGTTGTCCAAATATGAATGATTAACCTTTTAAACTGGAGATCGTTCACCTTGCAATAATTTCATAATTATCTATCTATGTGTGTTTCTAATTAGTAATTTTTAGTATAACTGTAAAACTAATCTCAAAAGTTGTTATTCTAAAAATGAGACCTTCATCTGGTTGTAAATATTAAGATTATACCAGCAAGAATGAGTCTTTGTTCATTAGGATCATTTAAGGGATTGCCAAAACAGAGCTCAGTAAGAACACATGCTCTATCTACTTTACTTGGTCTATGTGAACAAAGGTGATTTATACGCATCCTTCTATGTAAGGCATCATAGCTCTGTAATACTTACGTGATTTGATATTGGCGTCTCTGTACGTGCCGTTGAGAATTGCAAGTTCCATCAACTGCATCTTTTTAAGGCTATCTTCTCCCTCTGCCTGCATAGAAAAAGTGGGAAATTAGTTCACAATACTGTCACATCTGCTGATTTTAGGTGTTGTACAACATAGAAACATGCTCATACAATGCTACTTTACCTACTTATCACTCCCACACTCCCAGAACACAGGTAACAAGTTTCCAATAGCAAGGAAGCAAACCACTGAAGGAGGCTGATCTCTCCTGCCTCCAACGAATGCTGCACTAGGCTTGCATGGTCTTTCTTCCACACTTAACAGCTACAGTCATGAAAAGTGAAACTTCATAACTACCTTTCCACAAAAAAGGGCTGTACATTTCGCTGTCCTCTAATTTAGAAAGCTAGTAGCTTTAAAGTCAAAAGTGAAAACTGGGACTTGTCAGTTTGCCTGGAGCAATACTGCCACCCCGTTAATTAGATAAGTGACTGAAGGTATGTTAGAGGACATAAACTAGATAATGTTTCCGCTTCTGAAAAAGAAATAAGTTGTAGATTACAAGTCAGTCCATATGTGTAAAGATGACTATTTCATCATCATTTTAAGAATCATACTCTATATAATAGGCACAATTTTCATGCAACTTACAGTAAATATTCTTGTATACAAGCAGCAAGCTATTTATTCTCTATGGCATCAAAGAAGACGAAAAATGAACTTGCATTCTAAGGAGCAATAAATATGCACTGGAAACACAGCAAGCACCAATGTTCAAATGTGATCTCGTAACTGAAACAATCTCCAAATTTAGTTGTGAAAACTGGAACACTTTTTTGTTTCCTGTGAGGAAAGGTTGAAGGAGCTGGGTATGTTTAGCCTGGAGAGGAGACGACTGAGAGCTGATATGATAACCATCTTCAAGTACTTGAAGGGCTTTCAGCTAGAGGATGGTGCCAAGTTGTTTTCTGTTGCCCAAGAAGGTTGGACCAGAACCAACAGATTGAAATTAAATCAGAAGAGTTTTCAGCTAAACATTAGGAAGAACTTCCTGACAGTTAGAGTGGTTCCTCAGTGGAACAGGCTTCCTTGGGAAGTGGTGGGCTCTCCTTCTTTGGAGATTTTCTAACAGAGGCGAGATGGCCATCTGACAGCAATGCGAATTCTGTGAACTTAGGCAGATCATAAGAGGGAGGGCAGGAAGGGTTGCCTCAGTGCTTAGTTCTTGTGGCCCCTTTTTACACACCAAGGGAAATGCTGATTGCCACTTTGGGGTCAGGAATAGAGATGTAAAATTTCCGGAAATTTTGAAGCTCGGGAAAAAACCCGGGTTGTTTTTGTGTGTGTGAAAAACACGGAAATTTTAGGGAAAATTGAAAAAAATGCTACATTAGAATTTATTTTGTCTTTTCTAGATTGAAAGTCATTCTGTTACTTTAGGAACATAAAATATGACTATGAACATTTTTACTTGGCATGAAATTATCACAACTAGCATATTAAAAATATTGTGTATCCAAACAATTATTACAAACAGAATACCCACCCACATGCAAAAACAAAACTGAAACTTTTTTATTTTCTTCTGACAATCGCACCTCCTTAAAGGAAGAAATGCATCTTGTTCTTGCATTGGAGAGTTCAGTTTATAACCTAGGACTTGCTTGTCCTCAGTGCACAGAAATTAGATCAATCTGATACCATATATATGATTTGGAAAATATTTGGACACCTTGTCTTAAAATATTTTATTCATAATCCATAATCATAATCAATTATTTTCTTTTTTTTCCATAATCAATTTTTTTTTCAATTTTTCCAATTTTTCGGGAAAAAACAAAAAGGCTTCAGGAAAAAAAAGTTTCCCCCCAAATTTTTCCAGGCCTTCACATCTCTAGTCAGGAAGCAATCCTGGGGCTTTTTGGCATCTTCTGGGCATGGAACAGCGGCACTGCGCATGTGGAAGGGGACATTTGTGAATTTTCTGCATTGTGCAGGGGGTTGGACTAGATGACCCTGAAGATCCCTTCCTACTCTATGATTCTATGAATAAATTATGAACTATGATTACTGCATCACATAATTATACTTATTTGCATATTTTGTTTATATGCTTGTATATTCATTGATTGCTTTACTGGCCAAGTCTCCTTTTGTTAATCACATCAAATCAGCTGCTTAAAAGAGTTGAAAGGCTAGTGTTCATAGTTCTGATTTCTATACCTTTACTTCTAGCATGCCAAGCTCAAGTTGTAACTATTAAACATAACAAACACATTACAATTTGACCAGTCCCTTCTCTGTTCTCAGTTGACAAATAAATTCTGCAAACTGATGCAATTTCTCTTAGCTTCAGCCATTTCTGCAGGCATTCTCCATTCAACTAAACATAAGGTGCAAGAGAAATAAAAATAATCTCTAAAAAGGCACTGACCACACAGTCTGTACTAAGGAGTCTAATCAGTTGTACTAAGACACAGCTGTTGTAAGCAAACATTAATAAGGTCTCTGAATGGTTTGTACTGTTGTTTAAACTTAGGCAGTTGATTCAAACATTTTATCATTCCCTTCGCTTTCATATATATAACACTAATGCACATAAGTATTAACTGTTTAAAAGATACCTTTATCACTGAAACTTCCTTCATGCAAAGGATATTCAAAATCACTTGCTGAATTTGAGCAAATGCAACAAGGTTTTATTGTATGAACTATGTACACACAAGAATTCAAAAGACCCTGTGCAAAACCTCAATATCCAGTGAGAGACTCTCTGACATTCCTACAGACTTTAGAATTAAGTGACTACGTTGCCTACCTCTGATGTCAAATTATTCATAAGACAACTGGGACTTTCTCCCCAAAGGGCATGTAACATAAGCAGAAATCCTAAGTACAGACAAACTAACTACTCCCAAACACTAAGCTTGTTATCATTTACTCATCTCAAACCTTTGGTCGATATGAGAAACACTAGACAGGATTCAACAGCTAGTCGCACTTAAGTTCTAAGTTCTAAGATAACATTTCCAAATATGTCCAAATCATTTATTACTAGATTTGCTCTAATTATGCAACGAATCTATCATCTAGTCTAGATCTAAGGGGATTTGTTATCAAACTGTAAAACAAGTCTGTTTGAATGTGACTTGTTTTTCTCATGCCAACTTTTAAGGCTCTTCAATGGAAATTTTAAAAAAGAATTTTACCGTAAGAAAATTAAAAAAAAACATTTATTTATGCAATCTGTCTGTCACAGTTAGAATTTTTCCCTGCTTACAATAGCAACTTCAAAATTCTCAAATGCTGTGTGGCTAACAATTTTGTTTGTTAAAAATGATTGTTTTCTTCATGTGTCCACCACTGAAATAAAATATTTCAATAAAAGGTGTCTAGAGCGAAGGCTTATGCTACAAAGTACAGTGTGATCTTTATCTCCATATATTTTTACAAACATAAATTTGTTGAATCTTCCTTCTTACATGTTTCAAAGACTAGCTGAATACTGGAACTCTGTGGAAACGTCTGATATGTAATTAGAAAACTAACCTTTGAGACTTCCGTTTGGAATATGCCCAATAAATGTACATTAAAACAGAAAAGCTAAAATTTAGTACACAGTCCCAAAACACAATTCCTAGAAAAAATCAAAACCAGACATTTCTACAAAACTGAAATGTAGACCCCAAATGATGTGATCAAGCAGTTGCCAGGACTCAGCACAGAGCAAACCAAATCACAAACTTCAAAGGCTGTTACAAAATATGGCCAGCACTGGAATTAAAAAGCAACTATTCTATCATATGGCAAAGCTTGCTATGGATATACATATATCATTTGGCTGATAATTCATATAGCAGGCAATTTGTTTCTTTGGCAGAATATAACTAATGATATTTAACTATTTCAGAAGACTAGCTGACCCTACAGCCACCAAAATTAATTTTCATATTCCATGATCTGCCTTAAGCAGTTGTAAAATACTATTAAATCCATCTCAGATCCTTCTTTAACTTTAATTACATTGTAAAAGACAAACAGAATTATCACTCATAGTCATCAATGTTCTCTGTCAAGTCATCCACAGGATGGAACACTTTTATTTATTTGAAAGAAAAAATACTTACATGCAATTAGATCAAGGAACACAAAATATTAATGTCCCTTAAAAACGGTGGTCTACATTCCGGTATAATACTTTTTTAACAGAATGTTTAAAAATCATATAGTATATGTTGCATATGCATTTTTGCCATTATGACACTCATTAACAGAAATAGGATCAATGTTTACTGGGAAAGAAGGAGTGAGTATGACCTATCTGTGTCTGACTCAAAACACATTAGCAGCTGTGCAAAACCTATGAGACAGGATGTTTCTCAAGTTCCACCAGGTTTGGGGAGTGCCATTTCAGTTTTTTTCATAGTATTTGAAAGGAAAGAATCTACAGCATTACCCTTTCACACTGAAGATTATATATATCCACATTCCATTATGTCTCTGGAGAAATGCGTACTCTCACAGCATCTCTAACTGAATACACTTAATAGCAAAGTAAAAATTTACAACACAATATAAAAGAATCTAAAACCAATCACAGGAAGTTGCTGCTATCAGCCTCAATTGGTATTTTTACCTGATAAATAAGGACAAAGATATATTTATGTTACCCAAATAAGTTACCCAAATAAAAAGCTAAACACGTTAATTATTAGTAATCTATTTGTGGCTTTTATTTGCACTTAACAGAATAATATACACATGCTCAGTTGGTGGCTTCAAAGGCATTAACCTCTCCAAGAAGCAATGCTTAAAGTTCAGGTTTTGGAACTAGTAAACATTCTACATGCTCCTGTCACACTACTAAAAAAAAAATCTTTGCAAGTAAAAATTTGTGGAAGACTGCAGAACAAAGACTTCTGTTTGGTTTTTGAAACATGCATCATTAGCCCAGCAAAAATATTAATGTTATAAAATATTTTTCTTTGTGGAAAACATAGTTACTAAAAAGCTAACATTTTAACTGTACTAAAGAAAGAGTACCCTGGATCACTTTCCCTGTAGACTAATTCCTAGATTCTGTG